GTATATTGACGATATATTCTCTATCTGGAATATAAACAAAGACGAAGTCACGCAGTTCATTGAACTAGCAAATAGCCACCATCCCACTATCAAGTTCACAGCTGAAGTTTCCGACACGGAAACAACATTCCTTGACACAAAAGTTTACCAAGGCGAAAGATTTGCACAAAAGTCTAGACTAGACATTAAAACTCATTTCAAAGCTACTGAAACATTTCAGTACATGCATTTCTCGAGTTGCCACCCACCAGGGGTCAAAAAGGGCTTCATCAAGGGTGAAGCATTCAGACTTCTCCGAACCAACTCCTCTGAAACAGCATTCAAAGCTGCTATTTCACAGTTTAAAACAAATCTCATCGAAAGAGGGTATCCTGAAACTCTTGTTTCAACAACTCTCGCAGAAATTACATTTGAGGAGAAAAAAGCTGCCCTACGACAGAAACGTAAACAAGACAGGCGAATCTTGCCTTTTGTCACACAATATCGCCCATCAGGGCCTAACTTAAAACAAATACTTATGCAGAACTGGCATTTAATTCAACAACAACCATTGCTTAGAAGAATATTCAAAGATCCCCCTATTGTCTCGTAGAAAAGGGGCAGATCCCTAAAGGATATACTCGTTAGAGCAAAGCTTTAACCGGCTATTACACGAGGATGGGAGTTGTGCAGGCCTGTCACCCCATTGTTATCACTGCATTTTTGTCGATAAAATCGATAATCAGTTGAAAATCTTGTGACTATCGACTTTTATCGACAAATTTAATTTGTCGATTGACAATTATCGACAACTATCGAGTAATATCGACTTATCGACTACGTTTTCGATGATCGACTTTGATCGACATGTTACGTCCTGCTTATTTGAATGAATTTCAAAAAAACTTACAAAACTATGAGCCAGTCGCCAGTTGTTGCTCCTGTTGAGGCCTGAGTCAAGTGCTCAAAAGATGCATCATTCAGGATTTGAACAGCACTTTCACCCCAGCAAACATGGCAAAACACGAACAATGTACACACTCGCAGAAAAGACACGCCGTCCGCCATCTTGCTACACACTCGCAATTTGGAAGAGGGAGAGTTGGGGAGAAGTATTTCTAAATTAGGACATAATCTCCATATATAAAACAGAACATTTCCAATATGGCGGACAAAGTGGATTGCCAGTGACCTGGAAAATCTTTTTATAATCCGTAATTTGTAAGGTCGAAATCGTTTCTAATAAGATGCCACTGGTTCTTATGTGTGGGTACCCTTGTTCAGGGAAGTCAAAGAGAGCGGAAGAATTAAAAAGTTATTTGGAAAATTCCAAGGGAAAGACCGTTCACATGGCTGGTGATGAGAGCATAGATTTGGAAAGAAACGTGGTTTATGCAGGTAATTTTAACTTATTTAATTACAATGTAGACAAAAGTGAAGGCCATCTGCTCAAGAAATGACTAAATGGACTACTTAAACGATGTCACGCTTTTCTGACTGTATCATTCAAGCCAAAAACTGGATGTCCCGTATTACGCCTAGCTGGATGTCCCGTATTACGACTATGTATTTATTCCGTTACCATTACAATTATTGAGAACTAACAGTAAACAGGAGAACTAACCTACGAGAAGGCTGTCATTGTTGGCAGCACGAGCAAAGNGAAGAATTAAAAAGTTATTTGGAAAATTCCAAGGGAAAGACCGTTCACATGGCTGGTGATGAGAGCATAGATTTGGAAAGAAACGTGGTTTATGCAGGTAATTTTAACTTATTTAATTACAATGTAGACAAAAGTAAAGGCCATCTGCTCAAGAAATGACTAAATGGACCACTTAAACGATGTCACGCTTTTCTGATTGTATCATTCAAGCCAAAAACTGGATGTCCCGTATTACGACTATGTATTTATTCCGTTACCATTACAATTATTGAGAACTAACAGTAAACAGGCGAACTAACCTACGAGAAGGCTGTCATTGTTGGCAGCACGAGCAAAGCCGTCGGCTTTGAGAGAATGAATGAGAGCCTGCATGGACGCTATTGTTTTCTTAATACAGCCCATCCCAAGGTGTCAAGATTTTAACAACTCGCTAGCTTAATGTGTCAAATTATTAGCCAATAGAAATTGAATGAACCATCAACAAATATAACAGCTAATTGCATGTGTAGGCTTTAAGTTCTTTTAGTTTTAGTCTTAAATCTTTCTTTAATCATTATTTATACACAGTAAAAACATCAGGTAGAAAAATTACATAATAATGACTAAAAATCCAAATCCTAACACTATATTAACTTACATTAATATGCCACTTAAGAAAAATCCTGGTTTCCATGAATGCCTAGGCTTGATTACCAGCCGCTGTTCGGGAAAGGAGCCC